ACTTTGTGTTGATTGTACTTAACTAAATTATTTAAATCATTAATTGTTTGACCCCCCACGCACAAGCCAATGCACCAACGTCCACACACTGATTTCGCTTCTACATTCAATATTTGTCGGTAAAATCTTACCATCTGGGAGTCTCCCAAGAATTCATAACCCCCTAACATTCTCAATTCATTTCCTTCCCCCATGCTACTCTCAGTATGTGGCGCTGTTTGTCAATATCGACCTCCTCTGTAGTAGTTATTGATAGGCCTACCTCGGTAACCACCTCTTCCTCTCCAATTTCCTCGGAAACTTTGATTTCCCCGTTCCCTATCTCCATTTTTATCTTCACTTTCATTTGGTTCAGCAGATACCTCTACGACCTGTGCTTTTACTTCCCTATCTTTTTTGTAAGACTGATCATTATTATACTTATTGTACGGATCTTTATTTCCCTTATTATAGTGATACTTACTAGGATTAACTGGCAAACTTTCTTTCTCCCTAACTAACCCTATGTTCTTGCACATAATCTCCATATCTGCTTCAGTAGTGATATTTTTCACAGTCATTACTGTTTGAATTGATGCTCCTAGGCTCTCAGGTACATGTTTGCAAATGTAATTTAAAAACATTCCAATAGACATTGGTTTGTCCAACATCTTGTTAATTTCATAGTACTTGAGGACATAGGTTGCAAGATCCAAACCACTGCTGTTAAACTCACCCTGCCCCATTAACTCATGTTCAAATTGTCTTTGTCTGATTACACCCCAGTACTTCTTTTTAAATTCAACTTTAAAACTCTCAAAATTTTTAAATTTATCCAAATGTTGTCTTGCCCAAGTCTCTGGTTCGCCTTTCAGGTACTTAATAATATTTAGTAACTGAACTTCCCAATTATCTCCCGATACCTCCACAAACTTATCTGCGTATTTAAAAAAAGTCATTGGGTGAATTCCTGACTGCTCATTTTCAAAGTTTACTAAAAATAGTTCAGCATTCGCACTTATGGTACTTAAGGAGTATAGTTAACCATGCCTATATTACTTTCAAATTTTTTGTTTATTTGTTCAATTTGTTTAACTAGGTTAGGCCTATCTTTTTCTAATGACTCAATCCGATTCGTTACCACCACTGCCTCATTATCATATCTTTCTTCGAACTGTCTCTGCTTAGAAGTAAATTTATCAATAAGCTTCCTATTCTTTGCTATTTCCTCCGTACTTCCACTTTCAACTGCTTTCAATTTGCTTTCAACAACTCCAACCCTACCTTGTACTTCATCTATCTCATCCCTATTCTTCTTATTTTCATTACTTACTGCGCTAACTTTGTCATTTACCAACTTAACACACAAGTCGTTTTTAGCCTGAAACTTGACCTCTAATGCTTCCAAGTTGTCGAAGACTTTGTCTAACCTAACCTCAACCTTTTCTGTTCTCTCTTTCATCTCTTTACTGAATTGATCAAATTTTTTGTTTAATTGTGTGTTACTTTTTGTTATAGTGGTGATGCTTTGGTTCACTAGTGTCATTTCAGACATCATGTTTGTATTATTTTGTTTGATTTCAGCCATCATGGCTTGTAGCATGTTTATCATTTGAGTGTCATTCATGTTTGTGTTGTGAGTGTCAGTGTGTGTTTTAGATGAGTGTTCTGGTGTTGGTGCTGTAGGCCTACAATGTTCATTAGTTTCAAAATTAGGGGAAGTGGACCTACTCTTATTTTCTTTGCTCGCTTCATCTAGATTACCATTTCCGATTCCCTCCAGCGATTGAGAAGAATCAGAACTGAACCCCAAAAAGTCTTCCATTTCTTTAAGGCTATCAGTCTCCTCCTGACCCAGTTCATCTTCCATACTTATACTCTAGGCCTAGCCTAAGTCAGAGGCAAGTTATACTTTAGGCCTAGCCTAACTTAAGACTATTCACACAGCCCCACTTTGCTGGCCGCCAATTGTTGCATTTATCTTCTTTTTAGCCTAAATTAATTTTGAAAGAAAATTTGGTTGAAATACGTAAATCTAATTAGGCTAATTTGTCTTAATCTCAGGGTCGTTTTTTTTTTCTTTTCTAAATATTAGGGTGCGTGGTGGAGCTGTGTGAAAATGATAACTTACAACATCAATTACGGAAAGAGTTATTTACTGTTTTAGAATCAATTACAATAAGTTAATTTTACATAGCCCAAGGTATAATTTAAATACAATAGGTAATAGAGTTAGCCTAGTTTATGATAAAATTAATTAATCTACATTATGGATGGGATAATTGAGGTTAAACCTACACCTGACTTAAACTATATGGGAAAGGTATCATAGAGTTTATAGTGGAGTCTTTGGTTAATAGATTGTTATCAAAAGTTTTTATATTAGTTCAATTTGTAAAAGTTGGTATGTACTTGCGAATTTGGTCAACGTGCAGATCTTCAAAATAGTTTACTTACAGTCTTCTTCGCTTATTTTAATGTACAATTAATAATTGTAGGCCTATTTTGCTTGTAGTTGATTTATTAATAGAATTTATGCCATTTTCAAAGTTTAAAAACAGTTTGTTAATTTCTTAAAATTGAGAACATAATTTTATGGCCACTTCCTTTGACTCGTTATCCCAAGAAGAAAGAGAAGTACGTTACGTTAGTTCTTTTCTTCATTGCCTCAGATTCAAGATGGCTAGCTTCTACTTACTTTTTTTTTTGGTTAAAAACGAGATAATTTTCAGAAATTGTTCACCTACACCGACTTGAATGTCAACTCGTAATCCTATTGGCTTAGAAATTTACGTGGTTTAGTCCAAATATATTGTCTGCATGTAGCTTTCTCTCAGCTTTTTTTTAGTTTCGTTGCAAAATGATTGAAAACTATTCCCGATCTTTGACCTAACCTCTTTATTTCAGTTCTCTTTGGTGTCTCGAGTTCTGACGTCATCCACCTTTTTGATTTGAATCTAACTTTCCGTCTGCAATGTTTTATGGTTATGTTTCTAAATTACCATTATTTACGATTTCGGCAGAAAAATATGTATTATCATTATTTAGGTTTTTATCACGGTTTTTTGTTTGCCGTTAACGATCGCTTTTACCCACCGATTTGGTTGTATGATTTGAATGCAGATTTTTAACATGTTATGAGGATCAGAATACAATTTTATTAAACAAATACCATTCCTTTTATCCATTTTTCCTACTAATGTAATATATTTCAGAAGGTTTATACTATTTATTCATAATTTACAGTAGAAATTAGTTAGTTGAGCCTAACTAGGCCTAGGCTAGTAACTGATTAAATAGTTAGGCTTTAATATGTTGGCTATTTTTTATTTAGGCTTTGTTTTGCAAATAGGCTATTGATATATGACCTGCCACAAACCTAATCTAATACTGGATTTTAGAAGGTAATGATTAACCGAAGAGCCGTTGATTTAATATCAAACAATTAATAAAATCAACTACAACAATGAATCTTGGCCGATACGTAGCGTAGCCGACCATGAGGGGTAGATTTCCAGGGGTAAAATTCTGTGGTAGTACATTTTGAGTCCCGGGTTGTTTCTCGACCGTATATAGCCCCCACCCTCATGACGTAGGCGGTTTTCCATGAGGGTAAACTTCCGGGAGAAGAATTCCACAAACCCCGGCCATGGGAATCACTTGTCTAGAATTTTTCGAAGATCACAAAAGGTGATGATAATGTTCCCATGCCTACTGGAGGCGTTCAATATTTGGCCACAATCTTGAAAACTAACCCGAAGTATTTTACATAAATTTGGGAGAGCATTGTAGACATGTGATCACTGGTTTCAAATTTTCCAAGGATAAAAGTCATTCAGTACCGCCCACTTCCTGTCTATCCATTTCGGTTACACCGATGTGCTCCTAAACATTGTCCGGTTAAAGACATGTCGCTTCTGGCAAGTCTAGTCCAGTTAGAAGGGGTCCAGATAAAAGCGGGTTTACTGTATGTCTCATACTATTGATGTTACTGAAAATATCATCTTTATTATCATGCGAGTCGTGTCAACTGTCCTTTGTGACCCTTGTGAAGGTGCTAAGCAGCCTACATTTTAATTTACCGTATTTGTCTTGTAATTTTGAATAACTGACTCAAAATAACTTTTACCTTTGACTTTGGTATGGCTAAAATTAGTATTTTAGTGGAAACAACTAAGAAAAAATTCAAGTTTTGTTGGTCCTATGGTGATGGTTAGTGTCGCCTAAACTGTCATATGATAGCCTATGTACCGGTAACTTACATGGCTCTGTATACTGCATGTTGAAGGTGTAGGAAAGGTAGGTACCTATAAGATGTTCAGTGGAAACCTCTAGACAGGTTTGTAATAGTATATTACGTTACTAGTCCTGAAAATAAGTGTTAACTGGACGAGTGTGATCGTTCCCGTGCGAGACAAAGTCGAGTACGGGATTACCATGCGAGTCCGGTTAACACATTTTGGACGAGTTACATATGATAGTTTACGCCATACCACGAAATCTGTACAAATCCTTACATATTACCACCAACTAAAGGACAAAAAATCACTAGTCATAACCTTTAAGAGAGGTTTTGTTTTTGTTTATAACCACTCATTGTCACCCAAATACAGTATAATCAGCTGATTGGTGTCCGGTAAAACTCATTACAGTACAGTAGTACGCAATGAAACCCCATTTAATTACGCTGGGGCGTAAAATATTTTACTAAACAAACCATTGTTGGTTATGAGGTTAGGAAATTTTGTACAATTTAGGTACAACTGGAGTTAAGCCAAGATTCTTTGTTGTAATAACAAATGTTTCCCGACTCTTAAATATAGGTTTAGATAATACATTTGAATGTGTGAAAACAAAATAAAATAAATGTGTGGATGTAGAATATAAATAGGTACTGAGAACTAACTTTTGTGTAGGGCTTACTGCAAAAAGTTGTAAATAAGAGACAGTTTCATGTACAACTTCATATGATTATAATTTGTACGTGTATTTTTATTATTTACAAGTTGAATTTATTCCAGGCTAAAGATAAGCATGGAATCAGTGCTCTATTGGCTGCAATTTGGGAAGGTCACACAAGCTGTGTTAAAACTCTTCTGGAAAAGGTAAGCTACTTTTTTTCTATTTTTAAGTGAATATGTATTATTGCTTAGCTCGAGCTGGTAACTTAGGGCAAGAAATTAGTTGGACGCTTCCTAGTCACTCAGAAAACATCAGCCGGTCACAGTGGATGATATGAGATATCCAAAATTAGCTGTCCATTAGTTCCTTTTGTAATGGAAATCTTGATTTTTTCCCTATGAATAGCGGATTTGCCTTAGGTGATTTTGAGTTTGTTTAGGCACTTCACTGATGTAATTGAATAAATAATTAAACAACTTGGCACCCAGAGACGGGTTTATGGTTGCCGTACCCACGATCAGCTGGATGCTGCGGTGCATAGCTTTGGTCAGATCCTACCACCTTAAGGTTCATCCATTGTTGGTATCGATCGACATTTTAACAACGGTTCTTGGAACACGCACATTTTCCAAGAACTGGTGGTATGGAGAATTGTCTTTAGGTATTGCATTGATATTAATTGTACAGAATAGGCCTAATTGTTTGTATTACAATTTAAAGTTTGGAACCATTTCCTACTGCATTTAATGCTAAATTTGTTAGTAGAAATTCAGCCGCTATTTTCCAAAATGGCGGCCAACTTTGAAATTTCTTATGGAACACCCTATATTTTATCATGTTTTCGGATAGAACAGGCAATTTAAAAACTTTTTTATTCTTGACATTTTTTCGAAAAACCCACTTGTTTATGAGTCACACAGCCTATGGAAAAATGACTTCCGGTGTACATTTTACATCATGTTGCTCCTAAACAAGTAGGTTTATAGCGAAAATGCGAAGAGTAAATAAGTCAAAGAAGTCTTAATATTGCATCCACATTCCATAAAGACCATAAAATACACAGTTTTCCACTTTTCAAGTTTGCCGCCATTTTGGAAAATGGCCGCCATTTTAAAAATAATACAATTACTAGTTTTAACGAATTGTATGGTCTTTTTGGAATGTGGATGCAATTTTAAGACTTATTTGACTTATTTACTTTTTGAATTTTCGCTATATAAACCTACTTGTTTAGGAGCTACATGATGTAAAATGTACACCGGAAGTCATTTTTCCATATGCTGTAACTCCTAAACTAGTGGGTTTATCAAAAAAATGTCAGGAATAAAAAAGTTTTTAAATTGCCTGTTCTATCCGAAAACATGATAAAATATAGGGTGTTCCATAAGAAATTTCAAAGTTGGCCGCCATTTTATATCCCCCATTTAAAGTTTTCTCTAATTCTTACCGTTTCCGATATCCCAATGGTGGCCTCCTTGAGTTGATCACCCTGTATACTCTCTTCTTGTACACAGACACAGATAGTCTTCTTGTACATGGATACAGACGGGATAGTCTTGTACATGGATACAGACAGGATAGTCTTGTACATAGATACAGATGGGATAGTCTTGTACATGGATACAGACGGGATAGTCTTGTACATGGATACAGACAGGATAGTCTTGTCCATAGATACAGACGGGATAGTCTTGTCCATAGATACAGATGGGATAGTCTTGTACATGGATACAGACGGGATAGTCTTGTACATGGATACAGATGGGATAGTCTTGTACATAGATACAGACGGGATAGTCTTGTACATGGATACAGACGGGATAGTCTTGTACATGGATACAGACGGGATAGTCTTGTACATGGACACAGACGGTTTTTTTTGTTGTAAAAATGAAAAAATTGGATCCATAAAAACCGGATCCAGCCCAAGGGATCCAGATTTTTTGGATCCGATCGGGCACCGCTCTAGCTTGGGTCCGATATCCGGATCCGACCATCACTATTTTTTTTTAAATACCAAAGTAATTGTAATTTAAATATCTAGTATAGGCTTCTGTGAGATTAACCCTCCAAGTGTCTCTAGTTTTGGTCTTAATGTTCGCCCATTTATTGCGCAATCGCAGGGTTATTAAAATGTATCTTAGAAACTTAAAACAATATAAAGTATACTGTTTTATAAATAATTTTGTTTGGAAAATTATGGGCTTCAATGTAACATATAAAAATAAAACATTACAAAAAACATGTTCAACAATTTTTGTGGGGTTAACATTTCTCAAAAATTATAAAATAAATTAAAAATATTTATGTTTGCGCTCAATAACTTTTATAATTTATAGGTCTACAAATATTTTAAAATAGCCACTTTGTTCAGAATTTTATGAGGATTCCAAAAATATGATAATGTAAGGAAGTAGGTTTGCAAATGAATAAGTTATGGGCAAAAAACAGATTTCGGTACCGGTACATGGCGTTAGCTAAGAATGCATAGCCTAACCATAGCTAGGAATCTGGCTGATAATTTACATCAATATCACTACCTACTTCTTCAGGATCATCAACCAGCCCTTCAAAATCGCTTAAATTTTCTTATAATGCACCACGTATCACTACTTTTGATTTTTAACACTAAAACAACGATAAGTAATAAAACACATCAGTCATCGGTGCGAGGTTAACCAAGCTGTTTACAAATACGCACGTCAGCTGTCTGCTACAATATTTTCGGAACTAAAATGAAAAGCGTATAGAAACAGACATCAGGAGAAAGGTCTGGATCTGCTAAAAAAAAAGATACCTAACTCAATCCAGTTCAATCCGATTCAGTCAGTCCCAGAGCCGTCGCCATAAACAGTGTTTGTGAGTCGCAAAAGTGACACATAACACTACAGCGGATGTGTTATGAGTCGCTTTTACGACACATAACACTCGGAGGGTTAAACAAATTCTTTGTATTTTTAAGTTGTTTTATGAGTTAGAATGTCTTAGTTAGAGTTAGTGTTAGTGTTGTTTTATGCTCTAAGGACTCTTAAAACTTGACCATTGCTTTCCATATTTTCTGTTATTAATGTAATTGTTTTAACAGGGAGCGTCCAAAGAAGGTTCAACGCCAGATGGTACGAGCTACATTGATGCAGCCGACAAAGATGAAATCAAGGCTCTGCTGAAATAGATGTCGATCTACCTCTTCATGTATTTATTTTATACTAGGCTACTGTAATAATTTACTATTTTTGTTGTATTTTGTATTGTTGTATTTAAATGTTTACTTACAATATACATTCTAAAACTAAATAGGAGTATTTAAAAGTGCTCCGAGTGCTTTTTTACTTTTGGTAAAAAATACATAGCCTACTTTAAGTGATAGTTTTGAACAGAGGGCCTACAACAATTTTTCGGTTGCGCTTTTATAACCGTAAAATAAACTCGTCTAATCTACAAAGCTTTTATATTTTCTTATTTGTACATAGCAGAGTGGTTTTTAGAAAAGTTTGTATATATTTTCCTAGATATGGTGATTCCTACACTTTCAAACGTAATTTAGTAAAAATCAAAAGAAATATGTTTTTTTGGAAATTTAGTAGTTAATGCATAGTCGCTATCAAGTGTGATGATTCCTAATCTGTTACTATCAAATTTACCGAAATTGTGATATACTTAATGAAATTTAGACTATTTTATTTGAGTATGTCTTGTGTTATTTGGGTGGATTGTACTCCCAGCGAAATGTTGAGATACTAGGTGTTAGTAATTTATTATGATGTATTGTATGATTTAACTTTGCTTATGAAGTCAATTAATTATTCGTAGTTAGTTTATCGTTGTCTTATAATAACTATGTACACCAGGATGATTGTAAATCATGTTTTTTTATAATACATTTGTTCTTTACATAATTTCTTCAATCTTATTGATGGTGGTGGCTAAACTTTTTTTTAATGATTGCAATTTAATGTGTAGACAATTTAACAGTTTATTTAAAATTGGAAACTTTTTATTCTAATCAACGTTTTTATTTTGGAATTATGCTACCTATCTATTTATTGCTCTTATTATGCATTTTTGTAAGACTGAAGATTTTATTGTAGGATATTTGTTGTAATTTTGAGTTATCACTTCATCAATGATATTGAAATTACTACAATTTGACTGAGAGATGTTTTTTTATATGTTAAAACTACTCAAAACATAACTATGAATTATCAGTGCTGTTGGGGAAAAATTGGTGTGTACTACATTACAATTATTCTATTTTGTAGTTTTATATTTTTCTTTTTACAAAACTGAAGTATTATTAACAGTCATAATCTCCAGTGGACATTGTTCTATAAAATCAATGTTAATTTTATGGCATCAAAGTATTCTAGTCCCGTATTAAAATATATAATTGTATTTAGGCCTAATTCCTTTTAACTTGAAAAAAGATAGCCTATACTTTGATGTTTTTTTTAACTTTTGAAACTATTACAAAATTGTATTTTATTTAAACTAAAACAACTAAAGTAGCAGTTGTTGTCGAAGTACATTGAACTTTTTACTCAATTTTATTCTTGGAGCGTTCTTTGCCTATGACATAAATAAGTTTTAAATTTTAGATTTTATGGGTGAATAACTTTTCTAACAAGAAATCAATGAAGACGATTTCTAAAAGGACGACAAAGACTCTTAAAAACCTTAGTCATATATATTTTGGTCAAGAAGCTACCAAAGAAAATCTACGCTTTCTTTTATGTTGATTGTTTCTGACAAATGTAAATTAATTGTACCTTTGCCAATATAATGTTCTTTTTCGTAGCTTAGAATTTTTAATTTTATATCACATCTTGTTAACTCTTAAAAATAGTTTAAATAAACCGTGATATTTTCTACTACCACTGATGAATTTTTCATACCCTATTACTTATGTTTTAATATATATCTACCAGTCTGTCTCTGCTTTCATCGTCCAACACCTATTCAACCAATTTAGCTGGAATTTTACACCTAGACAGATTTATATTGGAAAATTTGTGTTTTAATATTGCTAGGGGCTTTTCTGCGACCTTCAAAAGTTGGAGATGGGTGATTGGGAAGTAAATATTGAATCTTCTTCACAACAAGGCAATCATAATGATAATTTATTTGTCCATAACATACAAACTTGTGAAAATCACATGTAAAGTAGTTAAAGCTGATAAAACATTTACATCAAGCTAAATCGGCTAAGACTGGAGTTTAAGTTTGGGATAGCATTATGTTATTTAAGTGAAGGAATTTGATAAGTAATCTAACATACGAGGCATGTTTTTGAAATAAGTACCGTTTTTAACTAAGGTCCCAGCGCTGTAATTGAACTAAATTAGAAAATGATAGCATGCCATATCGTCTATTGTCAACTACAATGTAACCAAAATTAGGATTTAGTTATTTTTTGACGAAATCAATTACAATATTGTATTGTTAAAAGATGGAATAAATGACTATTCATGTGATTGGCATTTTAGACATTTGCGCTGTGTATTGGCAAGCCTGCACCGGAAATTTAAAAACAATCGGCTGTGTTTACATCTGGTTTCGAGCATTCAAAATAGTGCCGCCGACTGTTAAGTGTGTGCTGTAATTAGATTTTTAAGTGCTAAAGGTGTAAAAGCCATTGAAATTCATCGATAGATTAGAGAAGTGTATGGCGAGAACATTATGAGTCTTAAAACCGGATGTTAACATGGCCGATTGTTGCCGAATTTCTAGTGCAGGCTTGCCAATAGATGCACATACACGGCGCAAATGTCCAAAATGCCAATTGCAGCGCTGGGACGGAGCAATTAAAAACGGTACTTACTTAAAAAACATGCCTCGTATTAACTAGGTACTACACTCACGCTATAGCTGGGTGGTTGTGGAGCTCACCTAGTAATGAGAAAGTCTCTGGTTCGATCCTGAGAAATGACAGTTGCTATTTGATGATTCGTGACTGAGCCCAGCTGACCTTCATTGTTGGGCTTTTATAAAATGATCCTGACTAATGAAACAGCTGGTCAAGGTTGCTGTTTGTTACCAAGGTAACAAAGTTACACAGATCATCACACATCACACCATTCTAAACTCACCTTGTATTTATATTCAGGACTTATCTACCTTTAAAAAGAATTTCAGCCTACAAATAAGGTTCAGGTAGTTTTTTTGTTTACACGGAACAAACACAAAGAAGGACTGCCATACAGAAATCACTTTTTGCTCATATGTGAGTATACTTTAGACATTTTTGCTGGTACAAAAAATAAAATAGCTTATTCACTATATGGGAAATTCGCTATAGTTCGGACGCTTAGAAAGCGACCTCCTCCAGCATTGGTTTAGCATTAGCGCGCAGGTCGTATTCTAAGCGGCCGAACTATAAAAGGCAAACTCTAAAGATACGGTTGATCCTAATATAAATCTTCAAGTTAGCAAAAACCATTGGGGAAAAGGTCCCATAAAAAATCAGCATACAAAAATGAGCTACAACTGTTGTCTCAATAATGTTCTTCTTGAACTTAAAATCATATAATTTAAAATTCCTCCATGAAATAGAGCGTATGTGGCTGTCTGACAAACTTTGTTTGTATCAAATTAAGTATTATCAGACTTTTGAGACCTGAACAGTAGTGCTCAGCGTCTCGGTTCAAGAGTAGGAAGGTAGGAAATCTAACTTGAAAAACAATAATACTGTATTTAAACTATTAATTATTTATATAAAATTAAATTACAATATACACTATATGTAATAATAAATATCCCCAAACACATGCTTTGATCTTCAATTGTTGAAAAATATTCTTTCCATTCATCAATTGAGGATTTTTAGTTAAAACCTCATTTCCACGTTGTTCTTCGTGCTGTGTTGAAGAACACATTTTTGCTGATTAATGGGCTTGGTGACGGATGACGTAGTAGTTCCTTTTCCCTATAGCTGATGATGTTTGTCACAAGGGTTTTATCAGATGAAGGACTTGGCTTAGCAGATTGTACCCGAGAGCTGTCAGTTTTCCTGAACGGACGACCTGCCACATGAGTGCAAAAATCACCATCTGGCTGAGCCTGTGCGCCCAGTACATCCTGCAAAAAAAGGAAATTAAAAACCTGGGAGAACCTTTGTGTTTTTCTGGAAAGGAGAACTTCAAACCATCACACGTTTTGGTATTATCATAAATCTAAAAACCATTGGTGATTGGCAAGAGCTTACTGACCCTGTGGCTTCAGCCCAAAATTAATAAGGCAGCCAAGCCCCCAAAAAAGTCAGTGAGTCAAGAAGACTTCAATACACACAGTCACATAACTCAGTTTGCAAGCCCATGTTTATTTCAACTTGTTCACTACCGCAATAGTACTAAATTTTTCCAATAGTACTATATGAGCCAGCGACGCACATATACGATGGCCCCTTTTCTACCCACAGACTGCCGTCGCATATATGCGACCTGAATTCTCTGCAGTGGTCTATAGGGATGTCTATGTGGATGTGATGATAAGTGACGTCATATGATAGTTGGCAAAACTGTTTTTTACTTTGCTGCATCACTGTTCCGTGGTCTTCATGTACTGTTAACCAAGTGATACCCAGTCCATGTGTAATATTAAAATGTATACCTCTGTATGTAGCAATCAGTGGCGGCTGACCCATAAGGACTCTCGGACGCCGCCCTCCCAACAATATATAAATAAATTATATTGTAATATTCTTCAGTTAAATTAAATTAAAATTACTTTAACAAGTACTTTAAACAACATAAATATATCAAATAATTGGATAATTAAATTCAGTAAAGACTTATTTTTGATCGCCAATTGGAGCGAGAAAGACGGGACAACAAGTTGATTTTTAAGCTTGCCAGACGGGGATTTTACGGGGAAATTTACTACACCACAACAAAAAGCAAGTCACACACCACACGCTAACGACCGATGCTAGAGGAAAAACGAAGATATACGAAAGGCATTGCCGACCGTTCTCGATAACATATGTTGACATGTTATTTCCGAGATAAAATTTTAACAATAGTTTGTAGATTCTATTACCAAATCGGTGGAAAATCCTAATATCACAGTAACTTTTAAAATTATTTCTTATGGAGTTAACTTATATCTATTGTATGGGTTGGTTTCTGCCTTTTTTACCACTTCTTGGAGATTGTACATAGGTGATATTTGTTGGCATATTGCATCTGTAGACGAAACTTGGGTTGGTGTAATTATTACAATGGAAAAGAGCGAGAAATCCTGGACAATTTGATATAGGCTAAAAATAAAACTGAATTAACACTGTTCTACATTTCTTGAGCAATCATTGAAATAATCGATTTGCAAACAATGGAATCATAGAAAAAGTCCTAATAGAACACAACCAAGTAGAAAAAATAAAAATAATTTTTTTTTTCATTTATAATCGTTGTCATAGACAACCTAATGCGGTGTAGAAAACACTAAAACAAACAAGATAAGCTTTTTGAAAAAAGATAAGATATTTACAAAAGATTTTGATTATATCTAACTGTTGTGTAGATTGTGAGTATTTCCATAATCTTTGAGTCGCCTGTAATGCTTCGCAATTGCTCGAATTCGAGCAACAGGTACACTAGTTTCTACTAAACTTAAAGAAGCCGGATAGTAGGATAGTAGCAATTTAGTGAGCAAATTTATGTAGTTCAATAGATCCATTAAGTATAAGTTCAGTAGGCAGTTGATTCCTAAGATTGTCAGTGTACAGTTGACATGAATGTAGAAATAATCATTCCATTTAAGGTGAACTTTTATTGACTCCACTAAAACTTGGTAGGTCTATACTTAATTTTTTCAATGTTAACTGCATCTTAAACAAGGAATAAGGAACAAAGTCTGAATATATAATTCAGTTTTTATAGAGAGGTATAGCAAAAACAAACTTGGTGCACATAAGTGACCAGCGTAGTGTAAGATTTTATTTCGGTTGAAGGTTACACAACTTTAAAACATCCTCTAATCTTTCAAACCAGATTCTGCTAATTATCTTTCACGTGTGACATCCAGACCAAAATTGAGTGGTGCAATGTTATTTCTTACAGTGTATCAATGTCGAAAAACTAAAAATCTTGTCTCTTCCTTACCTCCTTAAGTGAACCTTAGCAGTATCAATGGTGGATGGGTCCTCTTTCAATATGTATTTCCGTGTTCCAAGCACATACGACTCAATGTAGGTTTTCCAATTCAGGTCCGAGATGTTGAAGTTGAACTTTTCCCGGTCGGCCGGATGCATTTCCTTCATCAGCTGTGCCATGTTGTCGTTCATGAACTTCCACTCGTTAGTCGTAAAATACTCCAAACAAGTCACCGCTCTCTGCAGCTTCTTGTGGATTTTGAGCATTCTGGAACGTGTTGATTTTATAAGTGACATGGCTTCAGGTAATGGAGATATTTTTTGTTGTGTTCAAGATTCAAGCTTAAATTTTATGGCCAATATCACCAGTTGGACATTAAGGTGATGTAATTAGCTCATACTATAATATTTTTCAGTCTTGTTTGTTTTTTTAGTTTAAGTTATAGTTATACTAGAGTAGTTTTGACACCATTGAATGTACGGCACCTGATGTAAAATTATGAAATAAAGATTTTCTTGATTTTATTTTAGTGCTCTTAAAATCAAAGTCCAAACCAAAATAACTTGCAGATTTAATATATGACAGAAAGGAGTCTATTCCCTACTTACCAGGAACATTATTTGTGAAAACAACCTGAATCGTTTTGGTTGATAGGAGCAAAATCTAAATGTAATTCAACTGTTTTAAAAAGATGGTTGTAAAAATATGGTTTCCATATACTTTTACTTGTTAGTTACTAAAAACTTTATCAGAATACAAAAGTAAAATGTTATAAATTTTTT